TCCTTTCTACCTTCCACCCCCTCTGTCCTTCCTTCCACCCCCTCTGCCCGCCGAACCGCCTCTGCCCGCCCTTCCACCCCTCCCTCTGTTCTTCCGTCCCTCCGTCCGCCCTTCCACCCCTCCGTCCCCCAGCCCCTTCCCGCCGCCCCTCGCCGTGTGTCCGCAGGCGGGCGGTGGGCCGTTCGCAGTGACGCGCTGCCTGGTTTGACCTGCCGGTGTTGCACGTAAAGGTGCGCTTGGGAGAAGGCTGTGCTACGAAAACCAGTTGCGTTTGTATGCAGACAAACTTACTTCACTTACTTCTGGCTCAGTAGCTTGGCAATAAACCAGGCGTGGGTTTAGTGCAAGTTGTTCTGCTTCAGAAAAGCCGAGGTGCGTTAACGGGCATGGCAGCTTGCTGGGAAAAATACTCCCATTGTAGTTATTTTCTGTCACGGACTTCTGAACTGCGCAGGCACACGGTCAAGATGCAGCCCAGAGCGGCTGAGCACTGCGCGCTCACTTTGCTCAGCTTGTTTTCCACTGCAGCGCGTAGATGCGTCCTAACCTGCACGTTCACCTTCATGGGGTCACACGGGTGTAGGTGTTTGCGCACCCCTGGATGGAACGCACACAGACTGATCTGTAGTCAGGGTGTCTAGCAGCTCTGTAGTCCCAGTCATGATTTTTCCCATTTTTTTCAGCTGCACAGGTGTAAAAATTAGGCTTTGGCATACTGCTGTACTCCATTTTCCCCTTCTTTTTATTGGAACTCTGGCAAAAACGAGGGTGGGGGTGGGGGGAGAAGAACACAGCGCAGGCAGACAGGAGAAACTCACAAAGGATTAAGTGTATTTGAGAAACTTCCCCTCTCTCAAAAAGTCCCTCACATGCATGTTAACCATAGTTGATTTTCAAGTTCAGAATGAAAATAAATGTCATCTTGTGTTAGTGGGTGTTATCTCTTGTGGTCGCAGGAAGCTCGTTTTAGGTGGTGCTTACGCTTTCCAAGCAACGTTTGTTCTGTTCGTAGAAACTCCAAGAGTCAATAATAAAGAACAGGAAGATGTAACTGACTTTTTTGTCCCCAAGTCTTTAAATTATTTTGTGTAAATAACCTAAACATTTTTTTCGTTTTGACTGTTTCTAGAATACAGTTCATACTCTGAACATTCTTACCAAGAAATGGCTCAGGGTTAAGTGGACAATGCTGCAGCTGATCCTTAAAATGGAAACTGAAAATGCTCATAGTTCAGTCCTGATTTAAATTCATCATGTGTATCTGACTTGATAATTTAATCATCTTTGTTTTGGCTTTGTGTACTGATTTCAGCTGGGGTAGAGTTAGTTTTCTTTCCAGTAGCTGCTGTGCTTTTGATTTGATACAAGAAGAATGCTGGTAACACAGATGGTTTTAGCTGCTTAGAAACCAAGGACTTTCTCCAGTCTCCCGTGTTCAGGTAATGAGCAGGTGTTCAGGAGCTGGGAGGGAGCACAGCCAGGCAGGTGGGCCAAGCTGGCCCATGGAAATATTCCTTACCATGGACGGCATGCTCAGTTTGGGAATGGGGGTTGGCTGGGGGGCAGGAATATTTTTCTTTGCTGTGAGTTCAAATCTTCTCTCTTCCGGGAGTTCAAACTTTTCCAGGAGTTTGGTCTTTTTTGGAAAATTCACAAAATTCACGAAATCTGCGAGTTCTGAGTCCCGTGATGGCTGCTGAGGGACTGCCTGTGAATCAGTGATCGGGCAGTGAGAAAACTGTGTTATATATAGTTTGTTTTGCATATCCATTATTGGTGGTGGTAGTAGTAGTAGTATTAGCATTATGAAGTCCTTTGTTGCCTTATTAAACCTTCTTTGTCTCAACCCACAAGTTTGACTTTTTGTCCATTTCTCCTCCCCATCCCGCTGCAGGGGGAAGAGAAGGGGTGAGCGAGCGGCTATCTGATTCTTCATTGCGGGCTGCCAGGTTAAGCCACAACACCTTGTTACAAATGAGTAAAGTAATATTAGAAAATGGGAGTATTTTTTCTGTAGAATTCAGGAGACATTGTGTGCAGGAAATAATTATGTAGCGAGTATGTGGGATTTTGTTTCTTTTTACCCACTGATATGATTAATAATTGCTCAGAGATTTGAAAAAGTAACCTAAATCTGGCCTTATCTGGAGCTTGAATTTTGATAGTCATCTTGCAGTCCATAAAGAAAGCAGAGCAAAGGTTTTGATTTATGAAATCTGTAGATTTTTTGAAGTTATTATTATTGTTTTCCTCTTTTTGTTGCTTTCTAGAGACAGTGGAAGGAACTACAGTGCTTTGCTGGCTTGTGTCTTTCACTATATTAATCATCTTTTTTGTAATACTGCATTTAAAAAAGAAGAAAGTTGTTTTCCAGCTTCTGTCTCAAAGAAAATTACCAACTAGTAAGCCCTTTGTGAAAGTCTACTCACCCACTTGCCTCAAATCAGGGCTCATTTGGTTTAAAAGTGAGTTCAAAGTGTCGCTGAAGTGGTGCTTTAAAAATTAATGATGCAGCTTGCTACACTGGATTGCTTAGTGGAGTTGTAGAGTCTGGTGTCTTGTGCATTAGGGGGTCTTGGAGGCTTTGGGCTTTGACAGAGGCAGATTACTAGAAATATGTAGTAAATAAACAAGATGTTTATACTTGTGTACATTTGCTGGCCTAAGTTTAGGGCAGCACATTTTTTTTTCTGGAGGGGATAGGGGAGTTGCAAAAGTTGGCTTACAGTACACAGTAACTGAAGAGGTTTCTTGCATCAAGCAAAGTGTAATGCTCGGAGTAGCATTATCAGTCACGCGTTTGTAGAGGGGTACAAAATTCACCACATGCTAAGACTGGAAGTTTACATAGAACTATTAGAGGTCAGACCTAGGCAGTGTCTAAAATTTGTGGTATCCACAGTATCCAAATGCTTTTTTTGCAAAAGTGCTCACACTCAAACTCTTAAGTATGTGAATAAAAATATAAACGTGTCCATATAATGTACATTTAGAAGAGTAATGCAAAAAGCACTCGCTTGGCCTTGATCGCTCTTTCCTCCAGTGACTGTTCTCTGGCAGAGGCAAAAGCTCCGTAGCTTCACCTGCTGTGTGCCTTTTTGCCCACCTCCATCCCATTTAAAATCTTTCACTCTATGTTGAGATGTCATCTCTAGCCTTCAAAGAGACTGTAATGGTAACTGATACCTGTTAGAATTTTAGATGAAAACACAAAAGGCTTTGCTTTTTTTTTATCTCACTCAGTTTATGCCTGGGAGGATCTTGTAAACCATTGTGGTGCTATTTCCTTGTCTTCCTCCATATTCCCCTTGCCCTGCCCCTGCGGCTTCCTTGTCTTCCTGGATGCTACATCAGGGAGGACAGGAGGCCCTAAAACTGATGCTAGCCTCAGGTGTTGCTTTGTCTCTTTTTGCACCTGCTTATAAAGTGGCCTGTGGGAAAGTGTTGCTGTGTTGTGACTAATCTCGCATCCTTCTTTTCTCTGCTAGATCCACACAGGTTTACAACACCAGATAATTTGGCCATGCCAGCCCAGCTGTGTGCCACTGGATGAGAAACTCCTCCCAGAGCTACTTCAGGAGGCGGGATACGTTACTCACATGGTGGGGAAGTGGCATTTAGGGATGTACAGGAAAGAATGCCTTCCAACACGCAGAGGATTTGATACTTACTTTGGTAATGGTTAGATTTAACATGGGAAATAAATGTGGTGTTAAAAATGACGAGGAACTGCCTGATTCTTGTAAGAAAAGAACACTTACTAAGTGTGTAAGTAAATCAATACCTGGGCTTGCATGTTTCCAAAGTATAACTGCTTAAAATAAGAGAGTGCCTAATTGCACGCCCAAGCCTTGCAACTTATTGAAGAGAATATCATAATTATTAAGTGGCTCCAAAGAAAGCATTTCTCTCTTACAATCTGCATTTCGTTTGGTTTGATGATGATTAGAAGATTTAAGGTGTAGAGGTTGGTTTGTTTTTGTGAGTGTCTTTCATCTCAGTGTTTTGTGTTAGATCGGACAGTAGACATGGCTTGCTCTGCAAATAATGCTGCACTTCTAAAGGCTGATATTTTAAAGACAGAAATAGATGTCATACCACACTGTGTTCATTCTTTGTGAATAGAGCAGCATTGGTTTTGCAGAGCCTGTGGCAGGAAAGATGGTGTGAGAACCTCTATAAAACAGTATCCAAAGGGTCTGTTGCAGGGACTTGCAAGTTATGAAGTCAAACCCTCAGATTAAAAATTGCCAGAATTAGATTGTCCAAGTGTGAGTGTGTTACAAAGCAACTTGTAGCTACATGTTGTTTATTCTTCCTCTCACAAAGGCTCCTGTCCTGTATTGATTGGACGTTTACTAGTTTTGCACAAGTGCCAAAGAGGTTATGTGAACCCGTCTGCATTCAGTACCATGTGGAATGAGACGTACTGCAGGCAAAGTTGTCCATCTCCATTTGGTTGTTTTTCAGAGACTTTCTTTGAATGGAGAATTTCGTAACAGTTCACTGTCTTCAAAATAACTTTGCAAGCTGTGGATAGTACTGCTGCCCACTTACACAGCTGAGAAAGTAAGATACAGAGAAACTCAAGCTGAAGTCCATGTTCCTCTTGTCTACCTTTAGGTACTTAAATGAAGAGCCTGGCTGTACTACATGCCCGTTATAGGCAGTGGCAATCCAAACTTTAGGGGAAGAACTGTTCCCTTGGACTGTTTGTCTCTTTTGACTCTTCAGGGACCTTGGGCCATGGTTTCACAACTGGCTTAGGCTAATATATATGGGTTGTAATATAACATCTCGTTGCTTAAACATATATGCGTCCTCCTATCCCTTTGCAGGAGCGTGGGATCTTTTTGGTGGCATAGGTGTAGACAGGCTGGCGCTCCTGCTAAAATCTCACCTGGGGACCGAGTAGGCTCTTAATGCAGTGGCCTTAACACAGGCTGGCTCTGGATGTGGTTGCTGGGTGCCCAGCGTGACATTAATTTTCTGAGAATGTAGCAATTTAATATTCTATAATGTTCATGTAATTCCAGTAGATGTTGATTGCAATTAAGGGGCATTTGATTCCTTGGCAAACTTGACACAGTGTCTCCCCCAATGGGCAGCGAAAATGCAAAAATGCAACGTGCGGCTCTGAGTACCTCGATGTAGGCAGTCTGCCCACAGAACCCCTCCTTATGCTTTGAAACAAAAGCCATTTTTTCCTCCTAAACACATATTAGAAGTTTATATTGTATTTAAAACAGAACTCAATTCTTTCTGTACGTACTTTTTTGCTCAAGTAACTATATTTGAAGCTGCTGAATAAAAATTCAAGTGAAATTCCTCCATTTTGGGTTTTTGCCCCCATTTTAGTTTTGTTTTGCAGAACTTAAGAATATATTTTTGCGGATTCATCTTCTTTTATCAGGGCTTTGTGGAATAAATCTGAAATCTAATTTCCAAAATAGTGTTTACTGAGATTAAAAAAATTTTGCAGAGATTTTTTTCTGGTTGATAAAAAGTAGAGGCATTTAATGCTTAACAGGATAGCCCTTGACAGGAGCAAATCTAAACCTGTAGAATTTTTGCATATTTTCTTTTGGATATCTGTAAGTAATAGTGTCTTTTTCCCACCAGTTGGTGTCAGCAGTGGATCAGAAGTTACTTTACAGCTGATGTAAAAAATGCCTCATACTTGGATGTTTTTGAATAAATAAAAAAAAAATCCGAACTTTCCAAAAGAGAGAGGAATGTTATGTGAAAATCATACTAGCTAAAAATCAGAGTAATACATGGATAGGTCACTGCATTTGCTATCGTGCATTAGTTTAATGCTAATGTATTTGATATCAAGTTATGAATATAAATCATTGAACTACTTTCAAAGTGTTTGATGTTTTGAAATTACTACTTGCATTAGCAGTAAGAAGTCTATGAAGTATTCAATGTTGAACTACTTGGAGCTGTCAAGGGATGTGACTACAGATGGTCAAATGTTGGATGAGTGTTTCAGCTCAGAACCACTAAAGTTTTGACATTCATTTTTTACTTTTTTTCCCCCCTGTTGTATCTGTTTATATGACATTATGTTGGCCCACTTATTTGACATCTTTTCCTGTTCTAGGCTATCTTCTGGGGAGTGAGGATTATTATTCTCATGACCGTTGCATCCTCATCAAAGCAAAGAATGTAACGCGCTGCGCTCTGGATTTTCGAGATGGAGAAGAAGTTGCAGCTGGGTTTAAAAACATGTACTCTACTAATTTATTCACAGAAAGAGCTATACATCTTATAGCCAATCACAAAACCGACAAGGTACGGTCAGCAACTGTACTATAATAACTTTAGCACTAAAGAGTGTTTAAAAAAAGTTAATGAAAAATTGATAGAGAGACCTGTACTTGAGCTGCAATTTGGGGCTTTTCAGCAGGTTGCGTAGAGCTAAATGTGAGAGGTTGTGCTGGTAAAACTTGCTTTGTCTGCTATCAGCATCACTTTGGCTGCACAGCCCTGGCCTGCTGCCCTTCTCCATTTCTTTGTTTAATAATACAAGTAATGAATTTATAGAAATGATTTAGCATGTAGTTTGCTCTTCTAAAAAGAGAATGGAAAGTTTAATGGGAGGAGTTTCATAGAAAGAAGCTGTTAACAACTGTGTTACGAAGCAAAGGTACACTTGATGTTTTTCCACACCTTCACAAAAGTGCTTTTTCAAAGTTTTATTAGTTTGTGTTTAGAGATTAGAAGACAGAAGTATAAAAGAAATCAAAATACAGTGTCTGCAGCTGTTAGTGAATCAGGGCTTCTTTTGCTGCAGTAACTTTTGCATTTAGTACTTTATGTTCAACTAATTTACATTCTATCCCTTCTATCCCAGCCTCTCTTTCTCTACCTCGCTTTCCAGTCTGTCCATGAACCTCTTGAGGTCCCTGAAGAATACATGAAACCATATTCTTCCATTAAAGATGTAAAGAGGCGCCATTATGCAGGGATGGTGACTCTGATGGATGAAGCTGTAGGAAACCTTACTGATGCTCTGAAAAGATATGGTCTTTGGGACAACACAGTTCTTGTTTTCTCTACTGGTAAGTTAATTTAAATATTCTTTCAGTAATAACTTTTATACAGTGTCTAACGAACTGAGTGCAGAGATGTCTGGCCCCTCTGTCCTTCCTCCATATATTTTCTAACTACAGAAGACTGATTAAAGTGAAACAGGACTTTATACCAGAAGGAGCAGTTCCTCTCCCCACTCTTGTATCTTTCTGAAGCATTACGAAAACAACTCTGTAGATGTGTCTGTGCAAATGGGTGATATTACTATTGGAGTAACAACAGCGTTGTAAAAACTGAGGAGTGCAGTGAAGTTGGAGGCATCTTACTTGCCACTGAGGTTACTGAAGATCTGTCACAATTGAATCCTTACGGAGAGCGATCTACCAAATTCTTTTGTCCTGAGCTATAGGTAGCTGTCTGATCAGTCTACACACTGCCACATGTTGCCTGAAGCACGAACAGCCAGACAGCAAGGAGTTTGAAACCAAAACTCTTGCTTTCCCATACTTTCATGCAACACGTAGTTTCTGTCTTCTTTGAAATACTCCACTAGCACCTTACTCCCAGGAAGCAAAGGTCTGTTAGTAAAAATTCTTAATATGTGATGACACAGTCTTGGGTGCCAAACTACAGGCTAAGTTTTTGTATGGCACATAATCTGGTGTCTAGACGATCAGGATAATGCAAATAATACATTAAAAAGTAGTCTTCCTTGTTTCTAAACTAGGAATGAAACAGAACAGTTTTGAAATACAACTGCTTGTCAGAGTTTCAGAAACATAGTTGTTCTTGTTTGCTCGGGAGTGGAAAGTAGCTCTTTTGCCTAGACTTTACATATTAGGGCTGTCAAAAAGGCAAATTAATTTTCTGTGAACACTTAAACACCCCACCCCTCCACCACCCCCTGCAACAATGACCAAAAAAACACCCCCAATCTCCAAGTTTTGATAAAAATGGAGTGATGTGTTTTGAGTTGAGCAGCTGCTTCCTTATAGCACTTGGAATCTTGGAATTTCATTTTGAGTCCAAACCTGTTTGCCTTGTGGTATTACATTTGTGTCCAGGTTTTGGCTCTAACAGGACTCGATAACTCTTTTATGCCTCTTTCTGTTTGCAGTGTTTTCAGATTTAGAACTAAAAGTAAGCAAAGCCATATGGAAAACGATACCAATATTTATTCCATATGGAAAAAATCCAGTCTTTGCTGATGAGGTCCTGGTGGAGCTATTTCAGTAATGTTTGTTCAGTACGTTGTGGAATAAAATTAAAGACATCTGAGTTGGAATTACAGGGTAGAACTGAATTAAAAAGACATATTCATTTTTTTTGTTAGAAAACATTTATTTCCAAACAATGACAGTATACTCTGCTTTTAACAGCGGTTATCTTGCAATCAATTGCAGATATATTTCAACAAGAGTCAAACAGTCAGGAGAATCCAGTGTCTGCCCTATCTAATGGAACTTATCTTGAGTTAATTGACATTTTAAATTGCCAAGAGTGGAATTAAATATCATTGAAATGCAGTGAAATTGTGCCTAGATCAAGCAGGTCAGGAGGCAGTGATTCAGGTTTTTTCAGTGTTCTCTTCACTTCAAACAACTATTCTTTATAGGCACAAAATATAGCATGCATTGAAGACCTGGTTTCCAAAAAACAAATGTTGAAACCATTTAGCATTAAAACGAAAAAGGCAATAAGAGGCAAACAAAAAGAAGTGTGAAATCTATTAGGCTTTTCTGTATTATATTTATTGCTTTTGCAGATGGTGTGTTTTAAAATGGGCATTAGAAAGTGGCTGAAATGAAACACAAGAGGGTCTGCAGTTGAGCATCTTTTGCAGAGAGTTGTGCTATGTGAGAGCTCTCTGCCCAGCTTTCAAGTCCTTTGTAACTGGGAGCCTTGGTGTGCCCTGGTAACTATACTGTGGATATATACTTACAGTATGATATTACATTCAGCTCTTGAGGGAATGCCTGCTTGAGGAAGCTGTGCTCCTTCTTCCTGCCCCAAGTGCTCTCCTGGGACTGGGAGACCCTCCTCTTTCTTGGTATGGCAAGAGATGCATTTTCCTCTACAATCAGGAATGCTCTCCAAGAGAGTTCTACCCATGTTGTGGGGTTAAGAATAATTTTAAGGATTTAAATGAAGACTGCAAGGGAGAATCTAGGAAAGGATAAAGTGTGTCCATAATTTTAATGAGCAGCATTTATGTGTCTCCTCACCATAGTAGTTAAAGACATGGGGTAGTGAAAGCCCTCTCTGTTTTTTTGTAAAGCTGTGTGGTTTGACAACTGCAGTGTTGGAAACCTGTAGCGAAAGAAGAAGTGAAGATTTTTACAGTAGATTGTACTAGATTCATTACTATTCTACTTCATTACTATTGCTTAGTTGCAGTCAGAATTCCCACTTGGATGTCTGCGTCTCTCACTGCTTCAGAATTTCTCCCCCCCCGAAATAATCTGCAAGTGATCACTTGCCATTATGTGCTGTAGCAAGTAGCATTGCAACAAACATACAGTCTTCAGGTTGATTACTTCATTGTGAAGTGTCAACCCCAAAATCAGAGATCTCTTTTTAGTGGGTGTTCATTGAAATACTCTAGATCATGATATAATCTTTGCTCTTGTGGTACATTTCTTTTTATTAAACTCTCCCGTGTTTTTTGCTTTTTGTATATGTTGTGGCTCAACCAGGATTGCCTCGAAAATGTGCCAGTTGGTAAATGGATACACTGCACGTTTTAAAAGGGCCATGTAAAATGGGTAGAACAACTTCAGCACCTCTTTAAGGTGACCTGATAGAGACACCAAGGCATAAATGAAGTAATCTGGTCATTAGCAAAGTCTGACACCATCAGTATATCATGTAATTCAACATCTCTGGTGTCTTTTTGAACATATACACAAGCTATTTCTACAGGTAAATAAGAAAAAGATGAACTAGTTTAATGGTATGTAGTGTTATATTTGTGTATCAGCTAATAGCTGGAAAAGACTGTATGGAGCAACTTTTATACTGTAGATACAATTAGGTCTACGCTAAGGAGATCAGTGGTGAAAATGAAGTCATTACCTGTTCAAGCAAAACAGCTAAAAACTGGTGCAGCACTGTCTTGGGTACCCATGGCCTTTTATCCACTTGAAATCAAAAAGAATGAGACATAGGGTTTATTTTTCTTTTTAGGAAATGTAAGAGACTAAAACTACCAACTTCCCTGAAGAGGGCCTTGATTTAAAATAAATAAAGGTCATAAAAAGCATTCAAGTGGTACAGATTTACCTTAGCATTATTAACACTGGCTTAGAGTCCAAATTTTGCTTCAGCTATAGACCTATAGTTTGAGGTAGTAAGTGGGGATTTGCTGTAAATACCATGTGTTTATAGTTTCTGCAACATATTACAAGTAATTTTGGTGGAAGCTTGCCAGCATTAGAGCAAAGGAATTTGATCTCTAATTTCAGTTCTGTGTTAAAGGTACTATCTTTTGCTTTATTTAACTTTCAGCTTTTTAATATAATAAACAATTTTGGAGCAAAACTCCTTACTGCTCTTTCTTCAAATGTCTGCTAATTCTTAAATGTGTATTAGCACTGTAGTATCTGTTAGTTGCCATTAGAGGGCTTTGAACAGTAAAATATGTGGAACCTTTTAAGCCTTGGTTTACACTGCGAAGAGAAAACCACATAAATCCTTTCCATAATGGAGCATGTGACAGTGATGACTGTTTTCACTCCAAAAGAAGGTCTTTTTATCATTTTAGAATTATGATTAATAAAAGCACAGATTGTTTTGGACATGCTTACTGATATCTCGCTCTCTCACACCCCTAGATTTTTTTCCCACCAAATTTCATATTACCCTAATAAAGACTTGTTCTTCAGCCTCGAGGTTTAAATTTTTTTTCATTCCAGCCAGCGTATTTTGGCTTTTGTCTGATAAAATGTTGGGGTTTTTTTTTTCCTGTTTCCAGCTCCTACTTCGGTAGAAACCAGCTATCTGACTTTCAGTGGTTCCCTGAGGGCAGTTTTTTGACTTCTCCCTGATGTCTTTGTTCCTGAATGAACTCCTGCTCCTTCTCTTTTGCTGGTAAAGGACATCAGAGAGACCTCTAATTGCAGATTGTCCAAGGCAACTGAAGGACAGCTTGGTTAGAGCGATTATTCTCTGGCTGTGGTGTCAGAGGTGCTGATTTTGAAGGTTGTGTTGACAGATTTTTTTAGTAAACATACTCAGTTACAGATCTGAAGACCTGCTTTAGCTGGTTTTGTCAGGAGGTTCTGAGAGTTTCAGTGCATTGCCTGTGAGGATCGTTGCCTGGGCATCTACTGCCTGAGCACCTGCAGCTTTCTAAGAGGAAGTAAGCACAGGCATCTTAGCTACAAGCGCCTTCAATCAAGCTAGTTATTTGAGCCCATATATTCCCAAATATTGCTTTTCTATTTCTTGATTATTTACACTTGTTATTATACAGGCAAAAGTTGTGGATGATCCATGTGCTTGCATTGTTCAGAGTTGTTGTATGTCAATGATAAATAGTGAAGGGTTCATGTGGATGGTGTTTTATACTCCACTGTTGGCTTTTATTCTTTTTTTAGACTTTTTCCACATTAAAGTATGGGTGGTAAGAATAATTTTTTTAGAAATAAAAGAATATCTTCTCTACCATTTGATGCAGATAATAGCAATGAGACATCTAGACAATTTTGTAAAAATATATTAGCAAAGGCTGAAATGTTATCTTATGATGGAAATTAATTTCAAAATGAAAATTGAGAAGATGTTGATAGTCAATATATTGATTATTGCCACCCCCCACCCCCCCAGTTTTAAAATCCTGTGAAAACCCAAAGTGTTTCGTAGGAAATGTTTGCTTATTTTTGCTTTCTAGCATTAACCCCTCCATGCAAAACCTAATACTCCAAACCCGACTTCCTGAACTGAAGGTGACCTTGTGCCAGAGACACTTGCTTTTTTTTTGCTTTGTGTTTAAAAATTCCAGTGTAAGTGGAATCTTGAGTTTTTCTTC